TCTTTCTGAAAAGATGCAATTGAGATCTAACTCATTTTTCCTTTCCTTTTACAGAACAAGCATTGTTCATGAAGACTGATTGGAACCTGATTTTAATAATACCCATGACTAACTGTCCAGATCTGTTGACCATTATTCAGAAAAACAACATACACTACTCTGTTCTTTACTGTAGAACTTCCTGAATTTTTATATGCCTTCAGATTCTCTCTGAATTGTATTCATATAACACAAATTAACTGTCTGTTGGTCTAAACAAGAAGGATAAAACATTGACAATCTGAAATCTCAGCACAACTCATTACCGACCATGGGTCAATGAAATAATGAATCAATAAATAATTTTGGTCAGTCTAAAATGTTCAAGTGTTTTCATCTTCTTGCTTAATGAAAATAATTTTTAAACCTCAATCTTTTGTTAAATGCACAGACCAACTGTTGAATTTAAAAGTTTTAACAGAACAAATTGTTGCAATGTTGCAATAACAAATTGAATAAAAAAGATAATCCTGAACAATTGAAAAAATGAAGTGGGTCACTAAAAAAAAAGCCAATTGGAATCAGAGGAGTTTTGTAAACTATCTAGCCAATTTAAGGTGAAAGTAGGTTTCTGCCTCCGTTTTGTATAAACCAATAAAACCATTGTTCTTGTAGCTTGACGTATTTTACCAATGACAGCCTGACCTATTAGAAGATTCTAATAGGTAAGCCCTTGATTTTTCTCAGTGTCTTCAAGGATAAAATGTAAAGTGACCTTTCGGTTGTAACTTTAAAAAAAAAAAAAACAATAATAACTCTCTGGGGATTAGATTACTCCGCAGGAACTCAAGACCCTGTTTATTAATATTCCTTTTCCTGCTATGACCCCCCCCTACTTTGCATATGCTAGTCCTGAGACCTCAGTTCACCCTTTTAATATATATATTACATGGTAGGATGAACTGACAGAAAAGTCTAGAGTGTAAACCTACTTCATCATCTCAGATTACTATCACACCTCACATTTTCTTTAGAACAGAAGCAGGAGTTGAAATTTACTAGTTGAATATTTAGAAGAGCTAAAGTGATCATTTGGGGTCCTGGTGTGGTGCTATAGGATAAGCACTGGACTGCGAACCGCAAGGTCCGTGGTTCCAACACACCAACTGATCCTTGGAAACCCTATTCAGAGTCACTGTGAGTTGGAACAGACTCCATGACACTTGACAAAGTGATCTCTTACACATATGGTTGTCATGGGTTGGAGTTCACTAGATGGCACCAAACGATGACCAAAGAAGCCATCCTGTTGCTGTGGAGTCCACACTAACTCAGAGTGCTTCTGTGTGTTACAGAGGAGCAGTGCTTCATAGCATTCTCTTGATTGTAATCTTTAAGGAAGAGAACATCAGTCTTGTCCTTCTGGGGAGCTGCTGGTTAAGTTCATACTTCCAACCTTTAGGTTAGCTGCTGTTGTTAAGTGCCAGTTCCAACTCATAGAACCCCTATATAGGGTTTCTGAGGAGCGGCTGATGGTTTTGAACTACCGACCTTGTGGATCAAACCCACCTTGTAATCCAGTGCTTCTCCTACAGTGCCACACTAGAACTCCTTTAGGTTGTTCTTAAGTGCCATCAAGTCGATTCTGATCCACAGCGACCCTATATAGTTTCCAAAAAGTGGCTTGTGGGTTTGAACTGCCAAGCTTGCGATTCAAACTGACCTTGCAGTCCAGCTCATTATCTTTCAGCGCCACACCAGGACTAGTTAAAAGTAAATCGTTTATGCACCCAGAGACTTGTAGCAACAATATTGTTGTTAAGTGACGTCCAGTTGAATCCAACTCATAGCAACCCTGCATAGGGTTTCCAAGGAGCAGCTGGTGAGTTTGAACTGCCAAGGTTGAGGTTCACAGTCCAGTGCTGATCCTACAAAAACACTACACCAGGAGTCCTGATCTCTTTAATATATGAGATAATGAAGTCTCTGAACAGAGTCTGCCTGACTATATGTTTTTAGGAGCTGAGGCAATTTTTTCCTTATGTTGGAGCTTCAGGTCCACTGGCTCCTTCTATCTTTAGTAAAGGTCACTTAGATTTCAGTAGATAACTTCAACTTTGATCCATGCTTTTATACCCAAGACAATGTTGTAACATTACAATCACTCAATAAGGAAAAGTGCAATGTAGCCAAGTTTGCCTAAGAACAGAAATTGGCAATTTTGCATACTTCCATTAGAATTTTCTGGACAATGGAAATCCATTTCTGCATTGTCCAATATGGTAGATATTAGCCACGTGTGGCTACTGAACACTTGAAATGTAACTCACACAACTGAAGAATCAAGTGTTTTATTGACTTAATTAATTTAAAATTGAATTTAAATAACCATATGTGGCTAATAACTTTCATATTAGACAGTACAGCTCTGGATATACATTTATGTTTGGTTGTTACATCAGGCAATAAAAAATAAAAAATGTTCTTGAAATTACAAATGTCACCACATAGACATGTTGAGAAATAGTCTAATCATAAAAGGCTTGTTTTTCTGTTGATGTAGGTAGCTAACCTTCTCATCTTCTAGACTCCTGTAAATTTTTTTCAATTAGAAAAGTATGATGCCTATAAGGCATAGCATTTTTAGTCTCAAGTTTTATAGTTCATGTTTCTCCCATAAGATCTTATAAAACTTCTTTTACCTCCAGTGGGAGACAGCTACTGCACTGCCATGTAATCTAACCTTATTAAATTACCATGTGTGAAATGTCCATAACTTAAGCAGTAGCAGGTGCAAAGAAGAGTGGAGGACAGAAACTGATAGTCATTTGTGACATCTACACCAACTGGCAAAGCCAACAGTTGCTTAATCCCTCAGTCTTTAAAAATAACTTGAGAAGACTATGCTGCATAAGCAAATGTTTTCAATTTTGTTTTTGAACAAATTTCAAATTTCTTTTCTGACAAAAAATAACACGATACATTAGCTTTTTATCTCAAAGTTAATAATCAAAACATAAACAGCACTTGGGAACCCAATCAGTTTTCCTCAGGGGTTCATATAATATTTAATGAAGAAAAAAATTTTATTTTTAGAAATGATAATAATGTTTCTCAAGAAACATTCTATCAGAGGGAATTCTTAATATCCCTTTCTCCAATTCCATTGACATATCTCATTCTATGGTAGCAAATAGAACTGGAAACTTAATAGAATAAAAAAGAATGTCTCCCTTTAGATTCTAAGCTTAGAGAAAATCATTAATTCAATCAATCTATTCAGCAAACAGAGTCTTTATACCAAAAGGAAAGAGATTAGACAATAGTGTCTGGATAATTCAGACTAAAAAAAAATTGAGGTCTCTTAGTTTATAAAGAAGGAGCTCTGGTAGCGTAATGGTTACGAATTGGGCTGCGAACCGCAAGGTCAGCAGTTCGAAACTACC